CTGTCTGTCTTTAGCTGCAAGCAAGAGCAGGTGTTGCCTCGCTTGAGCAGCAAGACCGGCCTCTCTCAACCAGCACCTCCAGCACAAGCCTTCATGCTTTGCGCGCCGAACAGTCCACTTTGAGTTTTGGCCACTGGCTTGAATTTGCAGCCGGCTTGAGACATGTGGGCATTCCACACCAGCGAATGCCAGTTGCACAGCGCTACTTGTAGCTCTTTGCCAAGGAGGAGGCCTCATTCGCATTTTGTGAGCTCCGCAAGCTCGCCTCCTGTTTTTGCAGCCGGTGTCAGGGGCAAGCATGACGGGCTCTAAACAGGGTCCCAATATTGACCTGGGCAGAGCGTTTGCTTTGCGCTGTATTTGGCTCACTTGCCCATGTCGTGGCTGTTGAGACAAAACCTCCAACCCGCAGATGCATCGTGTGTTCGGTCGCGCCGGCCGTGGTGTTCTTGCTTCCATACTGTCAAAGCGCTGCCTTAGGAGGACACACGCGCATGGCCTTGAATGCAATTCTACCTGTCCTGGTGTTCCTGGCATTAGACATACATCCTCCTGCCCAAGCTGTCGTTGGCTGTGGCCCAGCCACAGCTTTATTGCATCCACATTGGACCATGAGCAGCATCATGATGTGGCGCCATCAATGTGAGAGCTCGAAGTCAATGATGAATGCTTCGTGCAGCTGTTTGCTCCCTGACTCCAGCTTTGGACAGTTGCCGCGCTTGACTTGCCAACAGGCCTGCAGGCTGAATTCGTTTGTTTTCGATGCGTGCAGCTGCCTCAACATTAGCGGCTGCTGCTGCCAATGCTCCTTCCTGAGCTGGCAGTCTCGGATTCGCGCACCACATGAAGTGCTTGTTTTGAAACGTGCTTCCTGGGACTTAGGTGTGGGCTATCTTAGCCCCGGGAAGCAGGCTTTGCAGATGTTTCTTGGCCCCGCAGCTTTCGCAAGCAGCGGTTGCAGCTTGAGTCCGTGTAGGGTTGCACGATCCGTTGAGGCCATGTCTCATAGCATAGAGTCGTCAAGTGGGCTTGGTGCGACTTGCTGACAGCGCATTGCCCCAAATCCATGGAGTCATATTGCCAAAAGCGGGAGATTCGTCAATAGTTGCACGCGCGGCGGTGCCTAGGCCAGATACCGAGTCATATTTGCAAACACTCCAAGTAGTCATGCGCTATGCTTTGGTATTGGTGCCTGCTGCGAAGGTTGTTGCATTGCACAGCTTAATTGGAAGCTCGCGCGCAAACGCTTTTGTGCAACTTTGCATAGCTTCAACGGCATCATCTAAACTCAGTTGGTTACTTTTGGCCACTGGCAAGCTGCGGGACAAAGCGCACGCTGTCCGATGTTTTTCGCCTTGCTTGTTTCATTCGCACTGCCCAATGTCAACGAGCAGCCTTGCTGCCGATACGTCTGTGTCAGTGTCAGCTGTACCCTCTGCCATTGCAAAGCAAGAGCAATTTCCATGTTCCCGGCAAATGAGTTGAGCTTGCCAGCCAAGCAGGATCTTGATACTGGGATGAGCCGCCAAGTTCTGCTCAAGGTGTATGCGGTCAGTTCAAGCAAAAGCGCGGGTGACGCGCAGCACAGATGACAACAAGCTGTATGACAGCAGCAGGTAGTGTCAGCCAGCTGCAGCCAAGTGGTGAAGTGCGAGCAAGCATGCTTCTGTTTTGCGCACGCACTTACACTTGCGAGGACAAACGCGCAGCGCCACCTGTTCCACTGGTGCGAGTGCTGATCACCGGGGACGGACAGTTAGTCTCCCCTTTGTTTGCGAGTAGCCAAAAGGTGACATGTCGATCATACAGCAGACCGTGCTGCGTGAAGCAGGTCTCTCACAGAGTGGCGACTGGGCTGCGTGACAACAGAGTTTGCAACCAGTGCAGCGCCATCACGATAGAAATTGCGCTCCCTATTCTTTCTCTGACCTGGTTGGAAGGCTGCCGGCTCTGCAGGAGTACTTGCGACGTTCATTGGAGCTTCCCTGCCGTGCGTGCGCCACAGGTCTACTTGGCAAATTTCATGTTCGGGGCAAACTGTTTCGGAGAAACTTGGGGGCCCGCAGGGGCCAGACTGACCGTTAGCAATTTGGTTGAGTTTTTGTGCATTTGGGTGCAGCTCGAGTGTCAGTAAGCATCCGTTTCCGAATGTGTCCAAGCAGGTTGCCAGGAGGCGCGCTTTGCTGGGCTCCTCTTCGGTTTTGCAGGGAGCTTGCACTCCCAGTCACAGCCGTCCATCTCCATGTGTTCTTGCGTTATTTGCACTTGCAAGCTCAAATCAGCGAGCCGATTGGTGGTTCCTTGCAACGTGCGCGAGCATTTGCGAGCCCGCAGAATCACAGAGCTGGGGCCACGTTGGCTCGTTAGCAACTTGCTTGAGCTTTTGCAAATGCGGGTGCTGCTCGAGTGTCAGTAGAGATTCATTGTTCAAGCAGGTTGCCAGGAGGCGAGCTTTGCTGGGCTCCGCTTTGGCCTTGCAGGGAGGTTGCTTGTTTTTGGAGCCATGCCGATTCCCAGTCGCAGCTCAAATCAGCGAGCCGTATGGTTGTTCCTTGCAACGTGCGCGCGCGCATTTGGGAGCCCGCGCAATCACAGAGCTGGGGCCACGTTAGCCTGAGCGGTTGTTCCTCATAGCCGTCCATCTCCGTGTGTGCTTGCATAATTGGCAGTTGCATTCTCAAATCAGCGTGGTTCCTTACAGCGCGCATATAGGTGTTCAGAAACTGGCTCGAGTGTGAGTAAGCATCCAATTCCTAGCAAGTCCAATGGCTACCGTTGCAGATGGGAACATTTTGGCTTGCAGGTTGCTAGGAGGCGGGCCTTGGCCGAACTGCTGTCCATCTCAGCGCACGCTTGCGTTATTTGCAGTTGCAAGCTGGCGCTAGTTGTCGCAGACGAAGCTATCAGGTGTCATCGCAAACGCAACTGATTGGTATTGTCAAGTTCAGAGCGGGCCGTAACGAGGTCTTGTCAGGCTGCAAACAGGACATTGGTAGGATCAGCCATCGCGCAGCTGCCGGGCATCTTCTGCTCGAGCACTCAGCTGGGAGTGCAGAGGGGTGGCAGCCATGCTTCCTGCTTGATGTGCCCCTCCCGGCTGTGCTTTTTGCCCAATCTTTCACGCCGCCTTTTCTGGCTTTTCCTTGCGCCATTTCACATTTCTGTGGTGGCCAGCTGTTGCTGATGCAGCGGCATGCTTTTTGAGGAGTTGTATGGATTCTCTACAATCAGGTGTGCGTGGGCAAAAGCTTCCGAATTCGTAGTCACCTTTGATCATTCAGCAAGATCGCTGAAGCGCTTTGATTCCCAGTCACAGCGGTCCGTCTCCGTGCACGCTTGCGTTATTTGCAGTTGAGCTCGCGCTAGCCTGAAACATGTGGCCTTATCTCTTTAAGTCAAGCAACGAACGAGTCGTCGCAGACGCAGCTATCAGCTGTCGTCGCAAGTGCAACTTGAGTTGTTGTTGCTGATTCAAGCAGCGGCTGTCCAAAGAGACGAGTTGGCCGCTGACACTCCCCTTGCAGCTGCTGCGCGAGCGGAGCGGTGGATATTCTTCGGCTCCATCCAGTGCGTGAGTCCAATAGCGGCCGCGGCTGTGCTTGCCTTCGCACGTGAATGCTTGAGCGCATGAGCGCCACAGTAGCTGAGCGCCACCTTGACAAGCACGTGCCGCGAAGCTTTCGGCTGTGAGTAGCAGTTTTGCAGATAATGATGCTCCTTCTTGAGCCCTGCCGGCGTAGCACGAGCCCAGTCACGGGAATTTAGTCTCCTGGCAGAAGAATTGCCCCGTCGCGTCACATGTCAATCCTGTCCTTGACTAGTGGGTCTCGGGTGTTGGGTGCCAAAAACTTGCCAAGGGCTTGTACGGAAGAAAACCTCTACTTCTGCTTGCCTGCGTTCTCCAGCGCCCGCGTGCGTCGGCTCGCCACTTTTTGGGGCATAAGGGCATAAGGAAAAATAGGGCTTTGGGCGTGAGACATGTCGAAGATGCCTTTCAGGCAAGTTTTCCAAGCCGACCCCCTTGTCCTTCACGCGAGCCCGACCCATTGGACGCTGCCCTCACTTTCCGTCACCCTCCATGCAAGGCTAATCCGAAGAGTCCAGCGCGGGCTGTCCGGGCAATACAGGTTACCCATGTTTCGGTCCCCCCAAAACAAGGACCTGAAAAGAGGCGATGGCAACCTAGTTGCTGCTTCAACATAGAGGCTAGTCCCACGCATGTGCTGGCCAGGGTTTGCTTTTTCCGCATTGGTCCCCAAGCTGCCCGTGATACGTCTAGGAAGTCTACTGAGTTGAGTGCTTCTGGAGCTATGGACTTCAGCGTCCCGGCAGACAGTGTTGCTTGGCAAGGTCACTGGGACATTGCGCCGTTTGGGAATCACGCTGTGCTGGGCGCAATTCCCGGCGGAATCAATTGTCGCAGATGCAATTTAGCTTGAATCTTGGCCGATCTCTTGAAAAAAAAAAGGCTGGGTGGAGCTTTGGCAGAAACCAAGACATGATTGCGCTGGCGTGCCGGCAGCATCCAAGCGTGTGCGTGATTCTGCAGACTGTTCGCAGGTAGGTTTGAGACAAAGACTGCTTGTGCCAATGCCACTAGACGCGCTGCGCAGAGTTCTTTTCACGCGGCGCCCATGTCAGGCACGGTCAGAAGCATTGTCCTTTGCGGGGGTTAGCGCTGGCCTTGACTATTGGGGGCTCTTGCGTTCCACAGAACTTGGCCAGGGCTTGCACGCAAGAAAGCCTGTTTGTCCCGCGCCCACTTGCGCCAGCTCGCCAATGAAAGGTAAAAAGATGTCTGTCCGGATCCTACCGGTTACCCGGGTTTCGGGTCCCGATGATGCTGGCCAGGGTTTGTCTTTCCGCATTGGTGCCCAGTTTCTTCTGGAGCTATGGAGTTCAGCGTCCCGGCAGACAGCGCTGCTGGGCAAGGTCACTGGGACATTGCGCCGTTTTGAGAGCCACGTTAGGGCGCATGTTCCAGCGGACACGTGCGCCTCATGATAGAGCGGACAAGAGGCAACCTTTTTGGTTTCACCCTGCATCACTGGCACGGTGACCAGCAATATTGCGTGACGTCCGAATTATCCCGAAGGAACCAGCAGCAGAAACAGCAGACCTCCTTGCGCTACAAAGACACCATGCAAAGACTGTGCTGCAGTGTCTGTGCAAAGAAAGGTCAACGCATGACGTACTGGCGGCTGCGCACCACCCACCACAAAACACCCATGTCGGTATCATTGGCGGACCTACGCGTGTCTACCCTTGCGTTGCGGCTGCCAACGGCGAACTTCAGCAACAACGGCGAAACCCATCACCACATTTCTCATACGTAATGTGGTGACATAGAGACACCAAAGCCGCACGTTCACTCAGTTTGTCATCCGCGCTGGTAGCATTGCGTTGTAGTAGCTTGCAAGGCACGGAGCCTAAATGGTGTGCTGACGTGGAGGGCATGCGCTCTCAGCGCATGCTGAATTCACATACGCAGCAACCGTGTTTTCGTCCATGTACATAGCAATTTTCACTTTGTTCCTGAAACTCGCACCTTCGCACTCGCCAGGCGAATGAGCCACCACGTGAAAACCGCGCGCGTTAATTTCCCGCGGTAACAGACCAGACTTGCTGCCCGTCCCGCGCACCTGATTTTCAAATTCGATCCGTGGCGAGCTGCTTCCCAATACTTACGGCTTTGTGAGAGCTTCAGGGTGAAAGAGTTGTCGCGCAATGTGACTATGACAGCTTCGTACAGGCATTGTCCATGGCAATCCGGAACGTAGTGGAAACCCCGCACTACTGCTGGAAGGTCTCGGGCCACAAGCGCTGGCAGAGGCAACCCAGAGACTCGGTTGTCGCGTGCTAATTCGTTGCGGAATACTTCACGATGCATTGGCAGCAGCGATTGTAGCATCGTGAGAGCTTTGCGCAGACCATTGCCTTAGCCTCTCAAGTGCTGCACCTTGCCAAAGTCAGTGACGGCAGCTTACAGAGAAAGTGCTTGCAGCGCAATCGGGCTTAGGAATTACCTGGCATCCATCACATAATGACCACCACCCATTTACCAGGACACCGCTGTTCCTGAGAACGATGACAAAGGCAGTGTTCTGCAAGCATGTCAGCAACTCACAACCCTAAGCTTACACAGCGCTCAGAAGTTTTTGATTGCTGTCTATATACAGCAAAAGGAACTTGCAGATTTCCTTCTTGTGTTTTTCGTAGCAATTGCCAAGCAACACGTTTTTGTGTTTCCTTTTTTGGTGGGTGGTCTCCCCACAATCATGTGCTGAGGGGTCCAGACGGCGCCGCGTTGGGGCGCCGCTTTGGGTTCGGCCGAGGCGGCGGAGGGCAAAAAGTCCAGGTTTTGGTGGGTGCGAAACATGGTTTTCAGCTTTTGGAGGGTTCCTCCCCTAAAGAATTTGAATAACCATGAGTGCCATTTTTGCCATGGCTAGCTTGCTGGCTTGCTTCCCTCATCCACTTTCGGACCCCGAAATTGGCTCCAAAATGGGCTGGGCAACGGGAAGGCACGAAACGCCAAGGGATAACCAAAGGTGGTCGTTTCCGGGCGCCTCAGGTAGCACAGATTTGATGACCTTTGATGACCTAGCAACATGTAATTTGAGAGACTTCCATCCCAACTCTGGTTTGGGCGGAGGTACTACCGTGAGATGCACCGTTCGGGGACCTTGCCCCCTTGCCTCAAACGAGTGCGGAAAGACAGCCAGTTCTAAAAGATGACACCCTATTTTTCCAGCCCCGATACAGCGCATGGACAAATCCCTGCACCAGCCGGTAGGGGGTTCAGCGCCTATCCGCAGGACTGCCCTTGTGAGTATGGTCTTCTCCAATAAGGAATTCTATATGTTGAATTCGCAATCCGCAAATCTTGCTCCACCGAATTAAGAAAGTATGGGAATGAAATAAGGTTGGTTGGTATTTCCATTGAAGATCGAATCAGAAACCGTTTGGTGCGGGTTTCGCGTCACCATCCACTGCGGGAGATCCAAGAGCGGTTCTGAACCCCTGGAATGATCCTCTAGGTATAGTGGTTTGTTTGCTGGATTTCGTCCAGCAGGTGGAGATTCAACAGTTGGGAATGAGTCAGAACCCCCTAGCAAAACATCAGTTGGATGGCTTATGTTGCTGGACAAGCTTCAACTGGCCATTCCACTGGTTCGCGACCAAAACTGTGAGAAAAACACGAGCAATCCACTCCACAGTCCGTGTTGGTCATATTTAGTAACGTTCAAAGGTAGGCCTCTCGGGGCAACATTCGGTATGTAGCAACATTGGGCTTCTCGGAATGTATGACTTTGTCGGATGCCATGATTGGGCGTGGTTGGGCGTGACTTGGCTTGATTTGGCGTGACTGCTATTTTTGGCAAACATTTGGGGCCAAATGTGTGCCAAATTTGGGGGACATTCATGTACTACCGTGGTTTGGCGTGATTTAACGTGAGTTACTCGCTTGAGAGTTGTCGAACATGCATTTGTCGAACCAACATTTTAGATGTATGCCTCTCAGAGCAATATTTGGCCTTATAAACCCCAACGTTCCTTCTCAGGCCAATGTTCGCGAATGTTGGCAAGTAGCCCCAACATTGGAGTGTCTGGGAATGTTTGGGGTTCCTAAGAAAGTTTGCGAACTATGATAGCTTCGCGAGATGTTCGCAACCTCGGGATGGTTTTAACACCCAGGCATCAGTTGGTAGTTGTTGGGTTATCAATTATCAACTAGTATTCATCCAGTTTGGCTAGATGTTTGCAACCTTGGTTGATCTTTATCACTGTGAATGGCTTTAAAATCCAGGCATCAGTTTGTTGCAGGTGGGTTATCAACCAGGTTTCATCCCACCCATCCCAGCAGGACCGTTGGCCTTTCACCTTTGCAACTACCAACCAGTTCAACTTTTGAGACGGTTGAATTTCAGCCCTTTGTGTTTCTGGGGGGTTCAAGCGGAATATTTTAGTGCATTCTCCTTGGCCGGACTTGAAACTAGGTACCCCTTCAGATGGTTGGCGCCCTTGTACTGTAGGTGTTCAAAAGAAGTGCGCGGCAAACAGAAGAGCTCATCTCATATCTCCCGTGGAAGAAGTTGAGACTGGAAGATCGAAACGGCAGTGAAGGAGTGGCCGAGCGCGACGCCCGACCCGCGCTTGTGGAGTCGCAGGGCAACCTTGCGGCGCCTTGCGACAGCGTCCTCCAAGGAGTGAGCTGTGAGCCTTCCGTCAGGGGTAGCGTGGCCAGTTGGCGCTGCGGCGTGCGGGGAGCAAGAAGACGAATCGACTGAGAGATGTTCCAGGCGATGACGCTGGGGATACTCCATGGGCCCCTTAAGGATTGTCACAAATGACAACGGCGCGGAGTGATCTCGTTTAGGATTGGTCTTCCCAAAATCAACCCTAAACCCGCCCAACAGCAGCCTGGATGTCAGCTTAAATCAACCCCAAACCACCACGAGACCCACCCCAATCCGCTAAGCCAGCCAAAACCCTCAACTTAAACCAGCTTCCAGCAACTCCCAACTGCCTCCCATTGAGGGCCAACTCCACGGCCTGCCGGGGATGTCGCAAGGCCTCCGGAAAACCAGGCTAGCAAAAACCCCCCAGGGAAAAGCAAAAAAAGACCTCTACCATCCCTCCGCAGGTGATGCCCAACGCCTCCTTCCGCGGGGCCTTCGGGTCGCTGCGCTTTGGGCAGCTGCCCTCGCTTTGGGACGAGGTGGAGGCCCTCAAGCCGCCGCTCCGGTTTTCGCGCGCCCGCGTTTGCGGGCGCTTTTTTTTTCCAGTGTGAAAAGGGTGGCAACCGGAAATTCGGGTTGCGACACAGGAGGTTTGTGACATGTGTGTCTTGTTTTCTTGTGGGGGAGGGGGTTGCGGCGTTGTACGGGAAGGTTTCTTTGTGGATCAGGCGGGGGAAATAGAATAACTTGCCCGGGTTCAGAGCTTTGTGCAGTGTCTCTTTGACCCATCAAACAAAATTGTTCAATCCCCAAAAGCAGGACTTGTTTGGCCGAAGTCGCCTCCAAAATGTGCTTGCTTCTTTGTAAAGGATTTTTCGACAAGGTTTTTCCGGGCACCCTTTAGAACGGCAACCCTTGCCACTTACCCTTCTTGATTGTGTTCCAAAGGGAACCCCATTTTTTGGGGTAGGTTCCCCCTTTTTAAACCCATTGCCTTAGCTTTAGCTTCCCCCTTTTCGATTTGGTGGTTGGATTGGTGGTTCTATTTGGATTTGACGCCCCCGTTCTTGATTGAAAAAATATACTACCTTTTAACCACCAAACCACTGATTCGGCTCCAAACCAAGGGGGAAGCTGATTTAGAGTTATTTCCCAAGATTCTGTCGATGTCCCTTACCCCTTCCCCGGCGCAGGTGGACCTTGTGGCAGTTGCTCGCGCGAGGAAAAAAGACAAAGTTCTCTGCGGCTGCCTCGTGCGCGCATGCACGGGCGTGGGGGTGAAAAATGAATCCGATCACCCTGGGATGACCATTGGTTGGCAAGCCAACCATTGGTTGGCAAGCCACAGAAAGAAGAGATGATTTTTCAATCACAGTTGATTTTGGGGGCGAAGGGAATGAGTTGGGGAAGCGTGGCTGTGTCGAAGGGCATGCCAAGAGAAGAAAGTTGTGAAGAACCACAGGTGACATTGTACCGTCATCTACCATGACATGGGGCACCATATTGGTAAAGTTGCTTACACAATTCCCAGGTCAGTGTGTCAGCGGGGCAAAAGCAAATATCCACCGAGGCTGACATGAGGTCGGACAAAGCTCCCTAATGACGCAGGATTCACACGCCCCGCTTCCCGAATCTTTTTCCCTTTCGGGTGGCAACCCTCCAGGATATCTTAGGTCAACATACCCCAGAAAAGGCTGCCCGAAAGCTTGGGTGCCCTGCGGCTTCGAACACAGAGCTGCCCTTTTCCCTTGGAGCCGGGTTTCTTGTTTGGTGTTTAGGGGGTGCTGAAAGCGGAGGTCGAGCGTCTTCTGGGGGCCTTGGGCCAACCTGCGGTGGCATCGCTGGTGGCTTGAAGCCCCAGAACTGGCGGGCGCAGGGGGGCGGCAGTTTCAGAAAAGCTCGCCAGGGAATTTTATTCAAAGTGAGGTCATAGCCAATGAATGGGGCAACGGTTTTGCTCTAGGTTTCTGCTGGTTTGGCGTGATCGCCACCAAACCACCTACCCAAACCATCAGCGGGAAACTGACATATCATCACTTCCAAGAGCCGACATATATATATATATATATATAGATATATTGTATATCCATTTATTCATAAGTATATATACACATGATAAACTTGGAGCTATTGTTGACCTGTTTACCTGAAGT